GAACATTTGACCTTTTGTGAGTACAACTTATGGGACCAGTGTTTGTCAAATGCATCCTGAAAAATGGATTCAGATCGTGGCTTGAGGAATTTTTACTCTGACGTTTTGGAAGGTGGCATCCTGACATGTCCCTTTACTTAATAACTGTTTATTGAACATTCATTCAACAAATATTTATCGAGTGCTGACAACACACCAGGCACACTATACTAGGTGCTGGGACTAGAACAGCATCATGTCCTCAGTGCAGAAAATGTTAACGGAGAGAGAAGGATTAGGAGAGAGTAAGGGCTGGGGTGGGGGGGGGGGGGGTGTTGCCATTTTAATTGGGGTGATCAGAGAAGCTTCTGTGAGGTGACATTTGAGCAGAGACCAGAAGAAAGTGAGGGAGTGAGCCATGTGGATGTTTGGGGGAAGAGCATTCCTGGCAGAGGACAGCAAGGATATCTGTGGCCTGAAGCAGGCGAGGTCCCGAAGTGTGAGTTAGGGGCAGATCGTGGAGGCCCTCAGAGGCCGTTCTAAAGGCTTTGACTCCTAAAGAGATAGGGAGCTTTTGAGGGGGTTTGGAGGAGAGGAGAGGCATATCAGACTTGTCTTTTAGAAAGAGCACTGGCTGCTCTGTAGACTAAGAGGGAAACCAGGAGAAGGAAGAGAAGGAGGCCGTCAGGAGGCTCCTGCAGTAGGCAGTGCTTTCTAGTGGCTCGGACGCTTGGCAGTGCGGGAGAAAAGACGTATCCCGGGATTATTTTGAAGGTAGAGATGATGGATATAAGGTGTGAGAGAAGCGTTGGTATTAAGGATGACTCCAAAGGTTTTAATACACTGGGAGTTGGCTGGAGGGGCAGATCTGGGAGGAGACCTTGGGAGTTTGATTTTGATCTTCTCAAGTCTGAGATGCTTATGAGATATCATGTAGAGATGCTGAGTTGGAGGTTGGTTATGTGACTGAAGATCGAGAGAGGTACAGGGTGGAGATACAAAGTTAGGAGCCATCAGAATGTGGCTGTTAATGAAAGCTCTGCAACTGAAGGAGATCACCTAGGAAGTAAATGATAATCAGTCAGAGGACCAAACTCTGGGCCATTTCCAAGGTATAGAGATCAGGGGAATGAGGAGGAACCAGCAGAAGACTTGAGTGGTAGCAGCCAGTGAGGCAGGAGCAGAACCAAGAGACGAGCCCTAGAAGTCGAATGAAAAAGCATCTCGAGAAGGGAGTGGTCAGTTGCCAAATAATGCGCGGAAGGGAAGATGAGGACACCCAGTATGTGCAGGTGCCACGCACGCAAAGAGGAGCCAGAGTGCCAGGCAGGCACTTAGGAGGTGTTCATGCACTTTTTTTTTTTTGGAATCAAGGTAATCTTTGCTTCAAACAGCTCATAGTTTGAGGGAGGAGCCAGTATGTGGGAAGGCACATAACCCAGCCAGGTAACTTGTCTGGGAGGTGAGCCTTCTTCAGCTAAGTCTTTGATGGCTGAGAAGAAACTCAAGCGGATACCTGTGTGCATTTCTTCTCTGTTCTGCATTTTCAGTTCTCTCCTCTCCACCTTCCCTAGGAAGAAGCCATGCTTGAGAAGTTGAGAAAGAAATAGAGGAAGCAAGTGACTGCCCCCTCCGACCAAAGAACAGAACCATGGAGTGAGAAAAACCCTGTGAAAAAGAGAGAATGGGATAGCTACCTATAAAAACAGTTTAAAATTCATCCCAAGACCATTCTCTTTGGTTTGAAAGAACTTGGTATTCCTAAGAAAAATCTGTTGTAATGCACATGTGGCCACAAGGGGTCTCCCTTTCCTTGAAACTCACTGGTTTAAAGGGAGATGCAAAAAAGGGATGGCTGGTCATGTAAGGCCAGTACCAAATTTGGCAAAGAATTTACTTAAACTTTTAAGAAATCAAAGTGTCCCTTTACCAATAACACAGTTTATCAGTTTAAAAAAGGAAAAACCACAGGGTAACGTTGAGTAAACATGTACTGGGAAGAGTAAGGAGTGCTTCAGTGTCAATATACTTAATATTTAGGGGGTGATTCTTCCCTCTTTGGTGACTATTTTATTAATCATGATAGTTTGAAAAGCAACTTGTCATGTGAGGATAATATTGATATTTGATATGATACCTAATATTGATATTAGGTGTTTAGTCTGTTATAAGCCTTTTTACAGCATTAACTCACATAATACCCAGCCATATAAGGTAGATACTATTATCCTTCATACCAAGAATCCTTTGAGATAGGTACTTTTACAGATGAAGAATTTGTGGCTTAGAGAAATTAAAAATTTGTCCAAGGTCACACAGCTTGTGAGGGGCAGAACTGGGATCTGAACACAAATCTAACTCCACAACTATCTACTTGACACAGCCGATGGTACGTAAGTGGATGCATGAATTTGTACATCATTAAGAAACTGTTTTTTAATTTGAAAACATACAGTGGTTCTTTTTTTTTTTTTTTATGTGTGTCTGTCCAGTTTTCCCAGCATTACTTGTTGAATAGACTGTCTTTTCTCCATTGTGTATTCTTGCCTCTTTGGTCATAGATTAATCAATCATAGGTACGTAGGTTTATTTCTGGGCTCTCTATTCTGTTGCATTGATCTATGTGTCTGTTTTTGTGCCAGTACCACACTGTTTTGATCACCGTAGCTTTGTAGTATAGTCTGAAATCTGGGCGGGTTCTATTTCCAGCTTTGTTCTTTTTCCTCAGGATTGCTATGGCAATTTGGGCTCCTTTGCAGTTCCACATAAATGTTAGGATTATTTGCTCTAGTTCTGTGAAAAATCTCCTGGATATATTGATAGGGATTGGACAAGATGACTTTTAAACCCCTCCCCATTTGTGTGTGGGTTTTTTTTAAAAATTTTATTTATTTATTTTTATAAGCAGGTTCTTTTTAGTTATCTATTTTTTACATATTAGTGTATATATCTCAATCCCAATCTCCCAATTCATCCTCACCCCCCATTCCCCCCACAGTGGTTCTTAACCAGGGATGAGAGTCAGATTCATCTGAGGAGCTTTTAAAAAGAATGCAAGTGCCCAAGCCTTCTCCTAGGACAATCTAACTCAGTAGGTTGGAGATGGGGTGGGACTCTGTTCATGTTTTTAAGTTCTACAGGTGATTCTTACATGTACCCACCCTTGGTAGGGAACCACCGTAGGGAGCTGTACGGTGGCTACACTTATGCAGGCTGAACAGCTCCCTAGAACACAGTAGCCACCAGCCTTAGAACAGGATTTTGGTGATTTGGCTGGCATTTAACTACAAAGGGTATTGAACTCCCTCTGGCTTCCAGTTTGAGATGCTCTTTCCTCTCCCCTGGAGAGCAGAGCTGGAAAGAAACGTGTGATTTTCCAAAGACCCAGCAGAAGTGGCAACAGCAGAACTCTGGGGGCAGCACTGAGGTGCTCTCAGCTGTGAACTGTGCAAGCAGGCTGTCGGTCAACCCGCGGGAGGAGTGAGTCAAAACCCAGATGATACAGTCTTTATCTACTGCTTTTTGCTGCATGTCAGCTTGGCAAAGAACCAGCAGTAGAGAGCTCTGAGGCTGGGTGTTTCTACCTGGGGGTGAAATGTGGGCAGAGAAGGGCTCTTTAAGACAGAGGGTTGTGAACGAGGAAGGAACCAAGTGGTAAGAACCAGGATCAGCTGGGGTGAAGGGAGAGAGGCTTTTCTATCCATTCCTTAGACAAGAACACATCTTCTGCGGTGACTTTAAGTGGCCTAAGTCATCATGGGATTTGGAGTATGACGGATTAGTCTGAAGTCAGATAATAATAGTTGAATGTTCTCAGGTCACTTCTGTGCTTGCTTTTTTGGTGATTTCTATCCTCCTCCTCCCCCATCTCACACACACACAGCTTCCTGTGCTTGGTGGCTCCTACCTTTCCCAGAATTACTCCGTGTTCCTGGTAACCCTGGGCTCAGTTGGGATTTCCAGTCTCTAGCCTTGGCCACTGCCTCTCGTCTTGGAGGTTTATTTGTCCCTTTCACTGGATTTTGGTGGGAACCTGAGTGCTGGTCAGTCCCTTTGCTCTTGACCCTGCCCCAAGAGCTTTCTGAGGTCTGGCCTCCCAGGCTCTTAGGACAACACAGCAAAAGAGAGCTTGGAAAGGGAATTAAAAAAAAAAAGAATCACAATCCTTGAGTATTTCTGAGACGACCTCATTCCAATACAACCAGAAACACTGTGTCTCAGAACTAGAGAGAGGAGGGCTGTCTCCCTGCCCGTCAGAAGAGAGAAAGGGAGTGATCCGTGACCCATGCTTCTTGCACTGTGTTCTTTCCAGGGTTTTCCCAGGTTTGGGGGGAAGGGAGGGAATTTGGGGTTGTACTAGACTCAGACTCGCTTTATCTTCCCAACTCTTGTCTCCAGAACCTCACCTCTCTTCCTGAGTTCTCTCCTCCACTCTCAAAAGCATATGTGAACCCACGCCCCGTTCCTTTCTCTTTAGGTCACCAGATTCCTTTATGGGGTTGGCAGTGGTGCTATAACAGCCCCAGGTCCTGCGGGGGCATGTGAGTGGTGCTGGGGCTGAGATATGCTCACTTCTATGCTCTGGGGGACTCTAAGTGCTCCGGGACCGGGTGTTCTGCTGGTCTTCCTCTCCTCTCCCTGCCTGCAGACTCAGGGGACCAGGAAGGTGGAAGGGAGCTCTTACCCAAGAGAAGAAAAGCCACCAAAGCTCCCCAGCTGCCCACGCTTAGTTCTCAGCTTCCCGTCCTCATCCCTCCAACCACTCCCTGAGTCTGGAGCGCTAGCCCAGTTTGAAATACCCCTCCCACTTTGAAGGAGGCTGGGCCGGCCAGGGGGTTATTTTGGGAGCAGCTTCTGAGCTCCAATGGCCTTGTTAGGGCAACACTGACCTTTCCATCCCAGGAGGAGGGCAGGATTGGAGAGGGGCGGGGCAGGGGTGGGAGAATCACAGCCCTGCACACCCACCGGGGGTGGAGGAGAAGGGGGCCAGTTGGCTGCAGGAATTCAGCCTCGGGCTGGGGGTTGTCACCGAGGGGGAATTTCTCCTCTTTGAAAACGGACTGGGGACCCCTCCACCCCACCCCTTTCACTGCACTTCTTAAAGGGATCACACCGTTTTTCCTTTGACTCCATGGAAGCCAGGTTTGGGACACTCCGTGGACACTTTGAACCTCTCCTTCCCACTTCCTTCCCAGCTGGCAGCCTTCCTCTGGCTGAGTGAGTGGGGGCCTCCCAGGCATGGCACTGACCAGCCGACCCAGTGCTGACTTGGCTCCTGGGTTCCTTCAGCCTCGGGTGGCATCTTGCTTACCCCCTCCAGGGGCGCAGTGAGTCGGGGCGGGGGCGGCCCTGAGCTGCTTGGAGAGAGTCGTTGCCCCCCCCCCCCCCATTGCCCTCTCCCCCGAAGCTGGAGGACGGTGAGGTGGTCAGGGGCTACGATGAGATGAGCGGGGGCCGCTTTGACTTTGATGATGGCGGGGCGTACTGCGGGGGCTGGGAGGGGGGAAAGGCCCACGGGCACGGACTGTGCACGGGCCCCAAGGGCCAGGGCGAATACTCGGGCTCCTGGAACTTTGGCTTTGAAGTGGCGGGTGTGTATACCTGGCCCAGCGGAAACACCTTCGAGGGATACTGGAGCCAGGGCAAACGGCATGGGCTGGGCATAGAGACCAAGGGACGCTGGCTGTACAAGGGCGAGTGGACGCACGGCTTCAAGGGACGCTACGGAACCCGGCAGAGCAGCAGCAGCGGTGCCAAGTATGAGGGCACTTGGAACAATGGCCTGCAGGACGGCTACGGCACGGAGACCTATGCAGACGGAGGTGAGCCCAGCCTGGGGCCTGCGGACCTGGGGGAGGGGCCAGGCAGGGTGAGGAAGACGGGTGGTGGGTGGGAAGATCCAGGGGCAGTACAGCACCAGATCAGAGGTGCCAGGATGTTATCTGCTGTGTGGCTTCGGGCAAGCGGCTCCGCCTCTGTCTGCATCTATTTCCTGGTTAGTAAAGTGGGGTCAATAACGGAGCTATTGAGAGGATTGGCAGAAGCGCTTCTAATGCAAGGCCTGCCATAGAAATACACGTTCAGTAAGACACTACTGCTACTGTTGCATGCTGGGTGTACCATCAGGTGTGGAATATGCTCCAGAAGAATTGGTGTCTAATGTCAACTTTGCCATGAAAATTATTTTCAATCAATAGATCATGAAATATTCATTCATTCATTCATCCATCCATCCCCCCACCCACTCACCCATCCACCCACATACCCATTCATCCATCTATCCACCCACTCATCCATTCATCCATCCATCCACCCATTTATCTGTTCTTCCAACCATTCATCTATCCATCCATCCATCCACCCATTCATCTGTCCACATATCCATTCATCCTTCCATCCACCCAGTTATCCATCCATCCAACCATTCATCTGTTCTTCCAGTCATTCATCCATCCACCCATTTGTCCATCCATCCATCCATGCATCCATCCACCCATCCATCCAAGCATCCTTTCATTCAGTGCATATTCCTGTAGTACCACCTATTCACCAGGCATTGTAAAAAGGGTTCGACATAAAGAGGAACAAGATACATCCCATGGGTTCAAAGATAGGCTTGTGGACAAACAATTATACACAAGTATTCACAGAGTGCTGTGGCAGAAAAGAGAAGTTAGATTTGAGGAGATCAGGGGATGCTTTCGAGGAGGTGACATCTGAACTGAACCTTGAAGGGAAAATTATGTTTGAGAAGCAGATAGAGAATGGCCTCAGGTGCAGGATGGGCTCCTGACTGGGCTCCCAACTGGTGAATGTCTGAGGGCCCACCCTCGAATGCCTCTGGATGTTAACAGGTTGTGTCCCTGGAGTTTCTATGGCACTATGGCGGCCACGCAACCCTGGCTGGAATTGAACAAAATCTGGCTCCACATTTCCTAACTTGGTGACCTTGAGCAGTTTGCGGAACCTCTGCAATTCAGTGCAATTAAGTTCACCAGATGTTTATGCCGGACACTACACTACACACTGGGGACAAGCAGAGAGCAAGCTTCAGATTCTCCAATTACCAGATGGAGATAATCCTTGCATGCTTGCTGGACATCAGTTATCCATGCAAAATGGTGCAAGTACGCACGTGCTGAAAGTTCCTTCTTTCCCCTCCCCAAACCACGGTTTGTGTGTGTTGGGGGCCTGGATGTGAGTCGCAGGGACACACATTTCTGGGAAACTAGAGGCCGATGTCCCAAGATGTCTAAAACGGGGGAAACCCATTCATTCATTCATGGATCACCAACTATGTGTCAGGCACCCTCCCACAGTGAGTCCTAGGGGCCAAGGCAGTGAGCAAGCATAGTCCTCAGGGACTTCCCTGTCTGGTGAAGAAGACAGAAATAAACCGGAAAACAAACATATATGCAATTTCCAGAAGTTACTAGTGTTATGAAAAAAATAGCAGAGAAGGAAGAGGGTGATGTTTTTGGATGGGGAGTTCCTGAGAAGTAGGGTGGAGAGGACTAGAGAGGGAGGGAAGATCCCAGGCAGAGGGAATGGCGACTGCAAAGGCTCTGAGGCAGGACTGGGTTCGGCATGGGTGAGGACAGCAAGAACACCGGAGCGGCGGGATCCGCGTGACTGAGCGGAACAGGCCGGGCTGATGGGGCTGCCGCTGGAGTGGCAGGCATGGGCCAGGTCACACACACTTGCAGGGCCTTGGGTTTTAGCCTAAGTGTGTCCAGGAGCCTAGAAAGGTGTGTCATCGGAAGGCCTGCCTCCCTGGTTTGTCAGAAGCCCAGACTCTCCTCCCGAATGAGACAGCCCCACATCCAGGGGGCCTGGAAACCTCATAGATCCTCTCCTACGAGTGCAACCCTCCAAAATTAGATGTGGCCACTGCTTCGGAAAATCTCTTTAATCAACCTGTCATCAGGTCTCCCAGGGGTTGTTAAGGACCTGCCCTTTGCCCCATCCTGGACAGTGTTGAGGGGAATGTGGACAAATAAGATCCTGTGATTAGGTACCATTGGGAGTCAGGCAACGCTGGATTATTCCCCTCCCCCATCATATTATTTGATCTCTTGGAGCTTTAGTTTCCTCATCCCTAAAATGGATTTATACTGATCTCTCCTAAGATTTCTCATGCGATAAATGTGTAGTTGCCATTATTACTATTAACTATCATCAATTCATTCAATAAATATTTACTGAGTGATTATTAGGAAGCCAGTGCTACGCTACACTGGGTGGGTGGTAGGCGGGTGGTGAGGAGGGTGTAGAAATGAACAGGATGGGAAAGGTTCCTGCCTTCCAGAGAATCTAAGAAAAAATGTGTTGGGTGCCAAGCAGGGATGTGCCAGGGACTAAGGGAGCAAGAAACAGGCAGCTAACCAGACTGAGGCAATCAGGGAGGCTTCCTGGAATAAGTGGCAAGTGGAGCTCTGAAGTACCAGAGTGAACCAGGTGACAAGGGTGGAGGACACGTGCTCCAGGTGGAGAGAACAGTGTACAAAAACTCTGAGGTCCAAAGCTTGCCATCCAGCAGATATCAAGCTGAAACCTTCATCTTATCCCCAGTTTTGAGAAGTACTGAGCTAAGCGATAATATGTCCCCTTTCCTCCACTCCCTACCTTACCTTGCAGTCCAATGTTACAGGTGTCTGCCTGCTCCAAACCCAAACTGGAGATGTTGACTCATTGGCAAAATCAATTTATTGGGTCATGACCTGCATTTTAAAAAATGCAAGAATAGAATAGAACAGAACAGAATAGAAAATATCAAAGTGTTTCATAGAGAATGAGATAAAGTATTGTTTCCTGAAATGTTTGTTCAGTTGGAGATATATGTATATATATACATATATGGATATATGTATATATATTGTGTGTGTATTAAAATGTCTGTGTTTCTACATTGATGATTACCGTCTACTAATATCTCCACACAAAGTACTTAATCAGGAATAAAAGATGACCCTTTAAATTAAATTCAACAATATAGAAAATTCGCACATTATTATTTTCATGATTTCATGGTAGATTAATAAATTATTCATCATGGGCAAAAAAATGTGTTTATGATTGTGTCATGATTCAAACATATATATTTTTTACTGCAGGTCACGGTCAAAAAAATATGAATATCACTGTTCTAAAGTGACTTGACCTGGCATCTTCATGGAAGCCCCTGCCACTCCTAAATCCACAGACCTTCTCTCTTCCCCATGCTTGTTGCTTTGGCTGGAAGTTAAGCTCCAATTCTTTGGTGGGAAGGGTAAGGTGGTCAAGGCAAAGGAGCTCCAGCCTCCCAAACTCTGCCCTCAGCCTCCTGGCACCCCCTCCCCTGCCTATAGCCCCACATTCCTCCCCTGGCCATATATAGCAAAGCTAAAAATAGCTGCTGACTTAAAAGCCCAAAGCCTGCATACACCAGGTCCTTAAGTAGTAACTTGCTGCCTGGCGGTTTCCTCCCCAGAGACCCACAGACTCCAGGACTAGAAGGGCAACTAGTGATCTTTGCTTTCCTCGGATCTTGACCTGGGCCTGAGCCTTGGCCTCAGAGGCCCATAAATGGCCTGAAACTGCAGGCAAGATGTGTGCATATGTGCGTGGACTATCTGTGTTTTTCTGGGAGGTATTTCCTCAAAAAGCCATCAGATTCTCCAAGTAATCTGGTGCTCAGATAAATTCCAGAACCATGGGTCTAGTTCAATAATCCCCTCCCCAAAATGTGCAGTAGGAAAGACCAAGCCCAAGGTTGCCTTTTTTTCATGAAGTTAATAATAATAATAGTTAACATTTTCGGAGCAGGAAGGGTGTGCCAGGTGCTGATCTTGATACGTGGCATGTGTTACGTTATTTAAACTTTCACAGTAACCTTACGGGGAAGTACTATTGTTACCCCTCTTTTATAGAAGAGGAAACTGAGACAGATAGTAAGTATTCTCTCATGGTCCTCTAGCTGATAAGAGGCAGAGATGGCATTTGATCGTTGTAAGTGATAATTAAATATTTTATACATATGATGAATCAGTATTTTAATAAATGACAGACAACTATACAAAATAATCAGGACTGGCTACATAATTTGAGGGACACAGTGCAAAATGAAAACGTGGGCCCCTTCTTCAAAATCAGTAAGAATTCCAAGATGGTGACAAGAGAGCATTAAGCCATGTTCAGGACCCTTCTGAGCAGGGTCCTGTGTGACTACACCGGTTAAATGCCCATGAAGCTGGCCGTGACAGTAGTAGCAATGGTCTTGACCATTTGTTGAGTGTTTACTAGTTTTTATCAGGCTCTGTGACAATAGTAATAACTGTCTCTACCATTTACGGAGTCTTTACTAGTCTTTATCTCTCAGGCTCTGTGCTAAGAATCATACGTTCATTATATTAGTGAGGTTTATTTTTTATTTTTCCTTAACATAATTTTATATATATATATTTTTACTAGCTATCTATTTTATACATATTAGTGTATACATGTCAATCCCAATCTCCCAGTTCATCCCACCACCACCCCACCCTGCCACCCCGGCTTTCCCCCCCTTGGTGTCCACGTGTTTGTTCTCTACATCTGTGTCTCTATTTCGGCCCTGCAAACCGGTTCATCTGTACCATTTTTCTAGATTCTACATATATGCATTAATATATGATGTTTGGTTTTCTCTTTCTGACTTACTTCACTCTGTATGACAGACTCTAGGTCCATCCACGTCTCTACAAATGACCCAATTTCGTTCATTTTTATGGCTGAGTAATATTCCATGGTATATATGTACCACATCTTCTTTATCCATTCGTCTGTCGATGGGCATTTAGTTTGC